TACAATATCCTCTTTAATCCTACTTATCCTTCTTACCTTCGTGAACGTTTTTCCTTTGCTCGTCTTCCCGATTCCCTTTCCCGATCACATCTTAAATCACATCTCCAAATTGTATCCCATAAAACCGACCACTACTCTTATTCCTTCTCGGTTCATGCGGTGAGGCTGTGGAATGCACTCCCGCCTAACATACGTGACTCTAAGTCTATTTCAATCTTTAAAAAATGTGTGAGGGAACATTATCACCTTTCCTATTAAGTACAGATTGTGTTATATCGTATGTATATTATGTATTATATATTATTTACATATTGTATGTATAAATAGGTACTTATTTATATTTATATTTATTTTATATGTTTTTATTGTATCATTTTGGTTAATCTAATTTTAATTATCATTTTAAGTTTTCATTGTCTTCTTCTTGTTTGTTTTTTTTTGTTGTTACACTCTGTGTCATATGTCGCATTTATTTCTCCTTTCGCAGGGCTGCAGGAAGAAATCCCATAAGGGATATGCAGTACCTATGTACCTTTGTTATTATATATATTTTTTCTGTGTATTGTCTGTGTGTACATGAACAAATAAATAAAAATAAATAAAGATCCTCAAACTCCTAATCCCCAAAAGGCTGCTAACGCACTTGTAACGCCTGTGGTGTTCTAGGTGTCTATGGGCGACGCCGATTGCTTACCATCAGGTGATCCGTCTGCTCGTTTACCGGCTTATGCCATAAAAAAGATGTAGAATTCTGTTTGACGTAAATGAATGCAGTTTTAATATACAAGCAGTTTTGCAATACGACGAGACTGCAAGTCAGCGATGTAATAAGCATTATTATTAACTCGTCGAGTACCGTCATTATAGACACAATTATAGAACAATAGGTTGCGGTCACCGGTGACCGCTTGGTGTTTGACAGTTTAAGGTTAGTAATTAAAGTTAGTAACAGTACACAGTGATACGTCCTTTTTTCAAATCACAAGAAATTACGAAATAAATTATTATGACATAATACTTTACATAATGTTATGTTATATTTAATGTCACATCCCATCACATCAACAGTCTATAAGTAGCCACTGCTGACCAAGGGCCTCTTCTCACATGGAGAAGGTTTGAGCATTAGTCACCATGCTTGCTCAATGCGGATTGGCGATTTCAAACTTATATTTAGAAATTATAGGCTTACTCACGATGTTTTCCTCAACAAAGTCAAAGTCAAAGTCAAAATCATTTATTTCAATTAGACCAGGAAGGCACTTTTGAACGTCAACAACAAAAATTTAGAAGTGAAGCTAGTTGCTTATTCCGAGGTGTAGATTCCTATGGAGAAGAACGAGCAAGAAACTCCAAAGGTTACTCTTTTTCTATCGGGTTTACAATACAATTCTCTAGTTACATAGTTGCATTTGTCACTATTTGTCTGTGGTGTCTAAATAATCTTATTAAGTACACATAACTCGGACAAAATCACATTGTTCTTGCCTTAGTGGGTTTCGAACTCGCACCCTCTTGCATGAGAAGCAGACGTCTTAAGCCTCCGGGCCACCACGACATTTTAATGTAATTAGTCGTAATTGAGGACGAGCCAATAGGGTAGATGCCTAATTTTCTTTTAATGTCTGTCTGGTCGATTATTTTAAATCATTAGACACGTATTTTTTAGTTTCTTTTCCGCCGTGCCCTCAGGGAAGTGATCGGCGATGGCGACCTCTCGCGTCCGGGCCTAGTGCAGGCCATGATGCGGAGCGAGGGGGACTGGGATGCCGTCTCCTCCTTTTGCGAAGCATTCATGCTAGCTAAGGAGGAGGCGGAACGCGTGAGGCAGCGAAGCGCTGCCTCCACGCAACCCAGCCATCGCGAAGGACACACCGGGCGTCGGGGATCGCGGGACGATCTCCGGCCACCGTAAGCGCGGGCCTGCGGACGGCGAGCATGGGTGGCTCCCCGTCCGACCAGAAACAGACCCGAGCGTACGGCGCGTCGCATTCCGCGCGCGCCTCAAAGAGCCATCAGACCACCACAGATGGGGCCCAATAGGGCCGATGCCGATTCGGAGTCGCGGAGAACCTAACGAGTAACCGGGGCTCAGGCTCGACGTGCAGGAGAAGGAACGGGGTGGTTTTTAGTCATTAAGAGTCTGACACTCCCTCCCGCCTTACCCAGGCGGGAGCAGTCATTCGATGATTTTCCCTCTTAAAAAAAAAGCCCCCACTCCTAAACTTTTATTCGTTTTATCTAAGTACTGTTTTATTATACGACAAAATAAAAAAAAATACGTGTACTAATATTTTTTCATTACCTAACTTACGGACTAATTACCACACCCAGGTTCCTTGGTTGTTTAGCATGGTACCTACTTGCGGCCACTCCCATCCAAACTACTAATGATAAAAGTAATTTCAGGAAACTAAAGCCATTTTAAGCTACCTTTATATTATCAAAAGATTACCGGCTAAATCTCCAGTATCCTTTTACTCAATAGACAATCTAGGCGGCCGCGGCTATCCTTTGATCTTTCTATTACAGCAGACGTGACAGGCAGTAAGGATATCACATAATGGCTGCCCGGTCATTGAACTCGGACGATAACCTTTGCTTCAGAATAATGCAACACTTTATAGCTATAAAGTGAATGTACGTTAATTATCATGTGTGAGTTTTAAAACACATGTATAGTGTAATTCGGTATTTAAAATTGTGTATCTGATTGGTCTATAGCCTAACTTTTTTGTTTTTATCTTATACCAATTTGCATGGCATGCATGCATTGGCAATTTGTGGCGGGTTCGGATTAAAAAGAAGTTTTTATTCAGAGACCATTTAGTTTATTAGGAATTGGGTATTTTCCTGGGTCAAAAATAAATTATTTTGATTTTTCAATCCAATTAAATATTCAAAAATAATTACAATTTCATTCATATATTTGACGATATACTTAATTTTCGATTTATTCTAGCAATTTTTTCAGGAACAAGTGTGCTATTTGACTCGAAAATATGATGAGGTCATAAGTTAGTTTTTAGCACAAAATTCATAGAACAATATCATTTTTGACGTTTCGATAAAAGTATTGAATTTGATTGGTTGTAAAATACCGTATTGGTCCGACATTCACAGTGATAGCATGTAATTAGGAATTTCATCCGATCATCGATATCTTAAATTTTCCACGCATCCGATGTAGGTAAAGTACTTTGCTAAAATAGTATGTACTACCCGGCACAGTATTGATTTTTATAAACTGTTACTAATATAATTTTATAACACATACAATTTTGTAATACTGTGTAATCGCAAAAATGATCCCTACACCTTGGTATTTACGTGTGAAATCACTAGACCTACAAAGTATTTTAAAGTCTTGTTTCAAAAAACAAACCTTTAAAGTAAGTACTAACAGGCTGTCGGAACTTCGCGGTTATTTATTAGTGCGTGCACTCTCGTGGAATTTATAGCCGTGCTCAGTTTAAGAAGAGCCATACATCTTGTGGTCCTTTATTTTGTAGTCGCGTTAAAGAGGATTCATACGTCGTCGGTCTCGTCGCGGAGTCGTGTCGTGTTGCCGCCGTCCCTTTATATGTAAATGTCCTTAATACTGTCGATATTTGTCCAATTGTATGGGTGGTTTAAATAGTTGTATTTAGGTGCTTGTGGATTTATTATTGTGCAAAGTTTCAATAAAAGGTTTCCTTACACGCAGTCGTTAGTTCAGTCTGTCATGAAGACTTACATGAAGATTTATATTTAATTTATTCTTCATGATTTGTGATTGCGATACACAGATCTGGAAACTACGTTTATCCCAAATCGATGATCAGTCATCGTATAATGAGTAGCCACCCCTCACCCTCTTTAAGCCTTTGACTGCCGACAGAAAACTGTTGAAGGTAAATACTCCTCTAACGTGGCCCATACCTTGACCCCCATGGCGTTCAACGTGTTAACTGGCCTAACTGTGATCTCTAAAAGGCTCGCCAAGTATAGGGATTATAGCAATCTCCTTATCAATAGGTCCTTTATTCAGCAGACGTATTTCAACTAATGATAATAATAATGATTATGACAAGCGCACGATGATAATCGATGTCACCATTCCCCAAGACGAGAACCTCGTGAAAGCTGAGAAATATAAACAAATAAAACATCTAGACTTAGCTCACGACGTTGTCGACTTGCGGAACGTGGATTCGGTGCCGATGGTCCTGTCGGCCTATGGGCTAATTCCTAAAATACTAGATGTCCATCTTAGGAGGCTGGCGTTAGGTGAACCGATCAAGGGCCTGATACAGAAGGCAGTTCTCCTAGAAACGGCACATATTGTGAGGAGGTTTCGGTCTCTGGAGCCTTAGGGCTCCTGCTATGCCATGCTTCCAGTACTGATCGGCTCCTATTTTTATTTTTTATTTTTCTGTTTTATTAACTACCTATTATTAACTACTAGTATTTAATAATGTAATTTTAGAAAATCTTATACAAATATATAGAATTGATTATGAAAATTATTATAACTAGTTTCTGTCGTTATGTTTTCAGTTTACGACGAAGATGGCAACCTAGTGAAAACGTATCCCAACCCCTACCCAAACAACCCATTTCTACAGAACTTGAGGCTCAACGCTGGACACTGGCCGTACTACGGAAGTTTCTTGAACCCATTTTTTGGTTTTATTAAAGTGAGTATGTGGTCATTAGTTAATCTATTGTTTGTAAAGAGAAAATGGCTTTATATTCTTTATATTCTGACTGACTGCCTCGTTGGCCGTTGTAGTTAGTAGTTGCAAGTGCGACTGCCGGGCAAGGCGTCTCGAGGTCGGTTCCCAGGTCGGGGTCGGTCTGGGTTTTAAAAAAATTCTTAGTAGTAGCACGAAGTTTGAAACCGTGCCCAGTATATGGCAATAGGCTCACCCCCTATTACATGGGACTCATAACATAAATAGTGAAAGTGGGTGTTACATTGTATAGTGGCAGTAACTGTCGATATATTGTGCACCTCTGCCTACCCTTTGAGGGTAAAAGGAGGGATGTTATGTTATGTTATTATATTCTTGACCAATAGGCTAGCTGAAATTTGGCTCTGCCCAACAGTTGTACGATATTGTGAGATTAAAATATTATTATCTCCTTTCTCCATTCCTGTATCCTGGTCCTCCATAGGAGGACCTATTGAAAGATTTTCACTTTCTTATTCAATTTATTGTAAATACTTATTTATTAACTAATCATTTACTTCCACAGGACTTCGGCAACATATTCTCCCTAACAATTCCAGTATCAAATGAGGTGATAAAACAAATGCAGAGGGACCCAGCGTACCACAACAAGTTGATGCTCACTCAATCTCCAGACCCAGTAATTGAACCAAACCCTCTTTGTGAGGGCAAGAGGGCACAGGTTCCCTCACCGAAACTCTGTAACAACTACCTTAATTGCTGGGATGGATGGGCCGTGGAGCAAGAATGCCCTCTTGGACTGCTGTTCTCTAATCAGGGGTACTGCGACTATTCTGATAATGTGAACTGCGAGAGCAGGAAATTACGTGAGTATTTCATACTTCATGATTTTTACATAGAGTCACATAGGCATTGCACTCGAGATCGTGTCTGATGTTGCAGGTGTACCTTATCCTAAGATTAACGTTTACCATCAGGCCTGTACGGTTTAATGCTACTGGTAGCAATATAAAGTGTCCTTACAGTCACAATTATCTTCTTCACTTACTTATGTATAGAGGGAAGTCCCTTAACGCCGGACGGCACCTAACGCCGTATGGTTGTATTATTTCTATAACTAATAACGCGAGCGATTCTATTTTTAGGGAGTCTCCCAGTGGCAGTACCTAAGATTTTTAGTAAAAGTTGAATCGCTCGTGTTATCAGTTATCGAGATATTTTTTTTAAGGGGGGAAAATCGTCCAATGACTGCTCCCGCCTGGGTGAGGCAGGAGGGAGTGTCAGACTCTTACTAACTAAAACCCACCCCGTTCCTTCTCCTGCACGTCGAGCCGGAGCCCCGGTTACCCGTTAGGTTCTCCACGACGTTATCAAGATAATACAGGCGTACGGCGTTAGGTGCCGTCCGACGTTACGGGACTTCCCCCTACACATTACTTTTTTATAGGATAAGCCAATAATTGAGGAGGTCACCTGATAGTAAGCGATCGGTTTCGCCCATAGACACCTGGAACACCACAGTCGTTACAATTGCGTTCAAAGTCAAAGTCAAAGTCAAAGCATTTATTTCAATTAAACCATAGTTTGGTACTTTTGAAACGTCAACAAATACAAAATAAATAATAGTCTGTCAGTCAGTCCGTCAGTGAAGCTAGGTGAAGCTAGGTGCTCATTCCAAAACGTAGATTCGAATGGAGAAGAACGAGCAAGAAACTCCATTCGTTACTCTTTTAAAAAAGTATGTTCTACAATGTCTCTGATACATATTTCAATACTGTACGCATATGTAAGAACAATGCAAAGACACGCTTGACGCATTATACTACTAACTTATTAAAATAAAAATAATAAAGATCTTAAGTCCAACATGGTGCTCACATATGCATACTGACAATCCATAAAAATAGTGCTTCTATACAAGAAAAAGGAAACTCTTTGTTTCAATAAAGAAAGAAATGCTCGATGCCATAAGGAAACTAGATTGTCTACATTAAAATTAAAGTATTAAATTATGTATTAAATTACCTACTATTGCAATTTAACTACTGACTACATTTGAGTATTGTCCAGTGGAGCCGAACCAACATGCTGCCAAGCATTCTTATCTTCAAGATAATCTGTCAGTGTGTAGTAAGCTTGATTACATAATTCGCGCTTAATATATGTTTTAAATTTACTTTCATTGAGATCTAGTATGCTATTTGGTATTTTATCATAGCATTTAATACCTAACCCCATAAAGGATTTCTGTACTTTGGACAGTCTGAATTGCGGTACAGCTAACTTATTTTTGCCTCTAGTATTAAAATTGTGTCTATCGCTTCTTTTTTCAAACAATTGCCTATTTTTCCTTACATACATTATATTTTCATATATATATTGACAGGGCACCGTTAAAATATTTATCGTTTTAAACAATTCTCTCAACGATTCGCAACGGCGTAAGTTATATATTGCTCGGATAGCCCGCCGTTATTAGCCTTTTATGGATTATTTTGGAAATTTGGGGATTGTTGGGAATTCAAGGATTAGGGAGATTGTGAAACGGGAAAGGATAATTGGGCCTCCGGTAATCTCACTCATACGACGAAACACAAAGCAAGCGTTGTTTCAAGTCGGTTTTCTGTATCACTCCGGTCAAGCCGGCCCATTCGTGCCGAAGCATGGGTCTTTCCCACACTTAAAAAATAATTTCTTTCACTTATGCATGTTTTAATAGAAATGTACATATATGGTATGTATGGTCGTATACACCATACATAAAATATGCTACTGTTTAAAATTCCACTATCAAAACATACTTTAGGCTTTTTACCTTCAGAAATACAGATATTATTTTTTCCAGTAGTGGTTCACTGACCTAATGGGTAGTAGACAGTAACAGATCAATTCTTACATCTTCAACTGCTGATGTAAGAGATGTCTAAGAATCTTGTTACATCAGTATCATAAATTCTTTGTTTAGTTGTCGCAAAATCGTGAAGACAACCATTGAATTCGAGATCTTAAAAACCTCACCTTTACAATCGCGCATCTTCAAAATTGTGAGATTATCTTTATTGAGGTACGCGGCTTTTATTAATTTCGTCAATACATCTATTAAGGATCTGTTAATTTTTCACCTCATTGGAGAATAAGTATCTAATATTACGACGAGCTTTAATGTTATTTTATCTTGGGCAAGACTGCTTTGTTGGCCGAGTGGTCGCAAGTGCGACTGCTGGGCAAGGGGTCTAGGTTCGATTCCCGGGTCGGGCAATGTATAACTGGATTTTAAAAAAATTCTGTATTAGCACGGAGTCTGGAATTGTGCCTGGTATATGGCAATAGGCTCACCCCCTATTACATGCGACTCAAAACATAAATAGTGAAAAGTGGGTGTTACATTGTACAGTGGTATTAAGTGCTAAAATGTGCACCTCTGCCTACCCCTTCCTCCCACTTATGTTATGTATCTTGGGCAGATTTTATATAGGGTGAGTCCCAAATATTCGTATGAAATTTTTTTAAGTCACCACTGGTATTATGACTACAAATCCTTTTGCATTGGCTTTTTGGGTCAGCGCTGACTTACATCGATTTTGGAATCAGTTACTGACCCCGTGTGACCAGATGGCTTTAGTTTTACACTTTGATAAAATTACCTATAATTGGGAAAGAATCTGGTCTCCTACACCCATCACGTTTCAGACATGTTTACCTACAGATAGGTACCTATTTATCACACCCAAAACCTATTAACACATTTAGTTATGTGAACATTAGATACTTTGCCAACGGATATGTAAATATTATTATCGGTAGATGTCGTCAGACGTGAAAATGTCAGCCAAGTTATATAAAATCCTCAGCCGGGTCGTCTTCGTTACGACATCTTATACTTCTGACCCGGTAAACTGGTCACGCCTTTATAACCCCTTAATGCTCACATGGTACTTTGAACCCTATACGCCTAAGTATAAGTGGTTTTATTGATCCAGAACTGTTTTATTTGAACCATTTTATCCTACCTTCTAACACAGTTTAATTCGAACTCCTTTCTTGGTAATACTTAATAGTTCTAGACTACATGTATAAGTTATGAAAAAAATATGATAGATTTCAGTGATAGCAGAAACAAATACAGTTTCAATATGAACGATGAAATAACCATATTAACTTGAATAATAGGAAGTTATTATTTTTATTTTTAATGTAAAACTAAACAAAGTTTTATAAAAGATACAAGATTTACAAACCAATCTAGCTCCTACAATTAAGCGTATTTTGTATGAAATTTCCAGGCGAACAGCCTCCAACTCAACCACAATGCAAGAAAGACTTTGAAGCGTTTCGAAATGCTCTCGACTGTAACGAGTTCTTCGTTTGTGTTGGACGACAACCGGTGAAGTTTAAGTGTCCTGCTGACCTTTCATACAACCAGGTATATCCCATCTTTCATATTATAAGTACAAAAGAAAAGCAACCTTAAATCAATAAGGATAGGAATTATAATAATTGAACTGGTGTGGAAAAATTTGATGATAAATCTTAATTTTAATTGCTTCCTTTTAGTAAAATTGTTTATGAACAGACCAACCCAATTAATCTGGTACTTTAAATTCCATTTCCTAATCAAGATGCTCGGAATTCTCATTCATTTTCCAATCAGCAAAAATATTAATGACTTGATCGATATAAAAACAGATATCAATATTCTAAAAGAAGTTGTATACTTACGTAAAAACGATATATATATTTTTAATATAAAGTGACGATTAATTAATTAGAATCGTGGAATTCTCCTCCATATTTGTTATTTTTACATAGCTAACTTATTTTTTCAATAACAAAGTGACTCATCTCGAACTAAAAATACTACGAACTTTTCAATATGGAAATTCTCAATGCAATATGCTGAGCTTAATATGGTTTTATTGCACTGCTGTATGCCTACGCAATTACTTCACGAACATTTATAATGTTTACTTTTCAACATTGTTTACTTATAAGGGTTAATTTTTCTTTTAGAAAGGTCACTGAGTCATTAAGCATTTCATGCTCTAAAATTTAGATAAACTTGATTTAGAGTCTAAATCAAGTTTATCTTCATCTCATTATTCAGACAGTTTTATTTTTTTCGTTGGCTACTACATTTTCTAGCATATGATATTTTTCTAATCGTAGCAACTTGGCGTCTGTGACTATCCAACACGTGTGGATTGTGCATCAACTGCTATCAACACTGAAGTCTTTGCTCCTCAACCACCTTCAATCGCACCATCTGCACCAACTGCTGCACCATTTGCACCTCCTGCGTCTGCTGCATCAACTGCCGCTCCACCTGCATCTTTTGCCTCACCTACTGTACCTACAGCAACATTTGCTCCACCATCACCCATCGTAGCTGCCGCACCTCCATCTTTAATTAAACCTGATGGAATAAAAACTGTGTTCTCTGAGAACTCTATTGTCAACACCCAAAGTGAGTCGGCTATTTTACAGCTGCATTAGCATTGCCTTATTAATTTTAAACTTAAACATTTTATCGCCTATTTTCGACATCAATACAATTTACTAAGTTTTACTCAATCAAAAATTTATTACGATGTGAATGGAAACAAGCTAATTAATCATCAAAAAAACAAACTAATCATTTGATTCATTAAAATGTTCATAATTTTGGTTTTGTAACCTAAGCATTGCGTTCAGAGCCTAATTACATTTAGAATGAACTAGTGTTGCATTTGTGTCGTTATTTATAACAGTAATCGAATGTTAATTATCTTTAAACTAATTAGTTTATTTTGAGTTACAAAAATAACATTCTCCGTATTTTATGTCAATTTTAATAAATATTTATTGGTTTTCCAGGTTGGACGTCTACCCACATAGCCATGTCTCGTCAAGACGCTATCCGCCAACTGCAGCTCGGCAACATCGCCAAAGCCGATATTTAATTACTCATTAATTGTAATTATTATAACCATAGGCTTTGCTACCTCTACTGCCATAATACCTACTTTTATATTAATCTTGACAGTAGACAAAACAAGTCATGTACTTGTACCACTTTGACTAAAATATTGCAACACTAACAGGCCGTGTTCAAATACATATCAATAAGTAGAATTGAGAAATTAATTGGTTATAAATCTAGTTTGGCCACAAGGTGTCTGCCTAGATTAATATTAATATCTTATTTAAGACTTGCTCTAACAGCAAATTGCATTTTAATTTATTGAAATTAATGATTACTTAATAAACTGTCTAATCATTTGCTCGGTTCATTATTAATTATTTTTCCTTGCCCATGACTTACAGTTGATTTGTAGTTCATAAAAGGTTAGCTACTTTCAAAATAAAAATAGTATTTGTATAAAAATATGATTTATTTACAAAATATTAAAATATAAGTTCGCTTAACTTAACTTACATAAGTGTTTATGACTAAGAACATAGATTTCGACACAGCACCGACACATTGTGTTGGTACCATGTCAAGGTTTTTTGAAGATTTCCAAAAATTTGGCAACAATAATTGTTTTAGACACAAAACAGACCAAAATATTAAGTGGGCTCGATTCACTTCGGAGTCCATGGATAAGAGATACTCGAGCGCCTCTTCAGACAGACAAAACCTTTCATGGAGCACTAGAAGCACTTAGGGGAAGTGATCCCCACACAGTTGGAGTTAAAGAGATAATTTGATAATGAATTGATTGTCAATCATCATGTTCGATGTTTTGCAATCAACGTGTTGTCACTACAGCGCATACAAACCCTTACAATAATTTATGACTCTGAAGAGGCCGTTTGTTTATTTGTTTAGATCAAATGGAAGGGGTTTAGCTTCAGTCTGTCCTTCGAGCCGCTCCTTGACATTCAGAATCCCAATTTCTTCAACGCTTTGAGGTCGACGTCACCGTAGTAATCCTCGCTGTAATATTATCATTTTATGAATCAACTACTTTTGTTTTATTGTTAACTGTATGTTTGGAGATGTGGTCTCTATCTCACTTCATTGATTTAGTAGCATTATCATTGCTTTGATTTTAATGTTTAGATACTTCGTGTATTATATTATCAAATACAGTATCAGTTCCTTTAATAGAAACATTATTAGTTTAATTCAATATAGAATTTCTATGTTCATGATGAATATTAAGGCAAATAAAGATGATTGTTGTATTGTCTTTAGGAAACTATGATTGAACATTTAGAATTAAATGATGACCAAATGCATGTGAAGCATGTCTTCACGTTAATGGGTAAAAAGAAATTTTTGATCGACGATAATGATGAATTCTTCTATGTGTTTAGAAAGTCAGAAAGACTTATGTCCTTTAAACCAAGAATAGAATTTAGAAAATGGTATATAATGAGTTTACTTACACAAGGGCACACCTTATAATGTATTGGTATCAACGTTAAGTAACAATTAACGTACCTGGATACCCAAGGAAGACGGTTCGCTGTTACAGTCAGTAAAATAAAATTAGACAGAAGAAAATTACAAAGATAACCAAGAAAATATTATTAATATTATTAGAATAGTGAATGCAATTAATGAAATAGAAAACAGTGAGGTGGAAATGTTAGGAAACGGTGCTAAAGTGCATCACTACACAGGTAATTAATACAACAGAGAGTAATTTTTATAAATTTTTGTTTATTTTATCACTAAAAATAAAACTTAAGTATTACAGTTTCTATCAAACAACAACACTCAGTCGCAGCGAAGTAATTCAGTACAATAATATATTTACAAGGTCATGGTATACAAACGGATACAATGCTTTATCGATGTCCTCGAGGATTTTAAACAGAACTACGTTGTCATAAATGCCAAACAACTCTTTTAAACGCTCGAGTTGTTTATTGTGCAAACTTTATACAGGCTCTAATAACTGGTATCGATATAATTATGTTGAAAGGACACTATAAATACTAAGGTATAATGTAAAATAATAAATATATCTATCGCTGTATGGTTTTACTAATTTCCTAACGTGCCTCAATGAAACTGTTCGAAGAAGCTACAACGAGAAGTATTTGGCAACTAGAAGTGATACATATCAACTGTAGCTCACTCACTATTAATCGAATATTTTTGAACCTGGAACACGATCTCCACACACCATGAGCAACGGTGTTTTTTTTACAAAGCTAATGCATCTGTATTCAGCCAAACATGTGATATTACAGAGGTTGCTCGTAGTGCGCGAAGAGTATTGGTTTATAGTTAACTATGTGAGTATTAAAAGGTTATAGGGTGGGGAATTTTATTTAGTTCTCCTTTTGGGGGCGGGGTTTGAGCTGCTTGGGCGTGTTGCGGGTCTGGCCGTCTTGCTGGAGGCCGGCGAGCAGCTCGCTCTTGCGGATCGTCTTCAGATCCAGATCCCCGTAGTAGTCCTCGCTGAAAATGTACGCGAACCTTACTGCCTGCCTCGTCTACTAGCTAACCTTAACTCTATGTCTTATTGCCTACCGACGGCGAGTGACTTAACATTAAACATACTCGTAAATGGCTATCTCAATTTCTAGCAACTTTTACTACACGAGTGGTAACTGGCTGCGAGAATTGTGTAATGTAATCTTGTACACAGTCGGCGTTAAAGAGTGAACCGCCTTGAAACGGCGACACGAATGATATCCGCTCGCTTTTCCAACTAGCATTATCTAACGTTTGTTTTTCTTGACCATTATGTGGTCCGGAGCTCTCGCAAAAACTTTTGAAATCGACACGTTTCTCGACCTTCGTTTAATGTGGTTACATCGTGACCGGCGCAAGCGCATCGCAGTATCGATCTGTTTACGATTGTTCGTCGTTCACAGACCATGAACCGGATATGTACAAAGATTTTGAAAGTTCTCTTGTTGCTTCAATTAGAGAACACTTTAGTTCCAAGATAAATAATGAATGATACCTTGTACAAGCGCACGTAGAACTGATAAGTTGTTGAAATAATTAAACGTACGCTATACTTTCATAAATGACAACTGGTTACGTTCGAGCGCTAAGAGTTAAAAAAACCTCATAACTATTTCATGATTGCATGTCTGCGCCAGTCACCGGCATTCCTTTGAACATTTCCTCTTTATGAAAGGCATTGATAATTCAACCTTTGTGTTATACTCGAACAGTTACGGTTGATACGTTGTCTGTGTAAAACAACGGTCATTACCATACACACTCCGTTATGTACCGGTCGGCATTGACCACGGTCGTCTGCGCATGACACGACGGTGAGCGCACTATTTTGCTCTAAGTCATGCTAATTTCGAAGTGTCCTAAATGTCGCAAGCGTGTAAGGCTCCGAACCGCATAGTTGCGGCCAGCTATTCAGGTGGGCGAGCTTTACTACGTATCCACCTATGTCTACCTACACAACATCTGTACAATGCTGATCTATTCGTGTATAATAAAGCTTTGGCAACACATAGTGCAACCGATCTGTGTTGGCATTTGTTTCATTATTTATGTGCAAGAAGAGTTGTTAGTCACAAGGACGACATTGGTTGTGTGGAAGTGGTTACAGGGTCTTAGGGTTTGGGACACCAAGAATATCGTCATACCAGATTAATGTGTTGTGGGGATACCCATTCAATATTAGTTATTCGGTCAAGAATTTCATGATCATTAGGATACTTTCTTGGTGTCACATGATTAGAGTAGGTACCAGATGTTAATGTACCACACAAGACGCTGAACACCACAGAACCAGTATTCAACCAGTGAGTAGAAGAGTCCTATGGTGCGTTCAAGCTGCCTGTCATATCTGCTTTACTTGAACGGTGTGGACAGGACATCCGCATTCAGTCGTGCAGTTATTATTAACAAGAGTTCCTTGAAACATGAGTCATGAAAAGTTCAGCTGCATACGATGTTGAAATGCGCATGTCCTATGAATGTGGTGTGTATGCAATATGTACACGATATTTTAGAAAGGCAACTCACCATCCGGGAACATCTTCAGGGTCTTCGCAGTTGCCGGTGCCGTCAGCATCACCGATCTTGAACACGGTACCGATGGGGCATCCGTACTCACGGGCAACTCCCTCCAAGCAGATGTAGTATTTACGGCAGTCTTCGGGGTGGGCGTGACGGCTGAAGGAGCCAGCGTTGGACACCTCACCGGGAGCGGGGCAAGAGAAACCGTTCGCTACTTCTGGGAAACACCAAACGAGGTTACGTGAGCGAGAGTGCGGAAGGCGAAACCGAAATGCAGCAGCGACAGCGGTGGTGAAGTTGAAATATAGTCACTGGAATAGTTTGTGTGCAAAGATTCCATGTGATTCAGATATAGGTTCCATTTTATGTTCATGTTTACCATTTCACCAGAAATGAAATTATGTTGAATAATCTGTTTAGTCAGAAGTAATAATATTTGCTTTAAATATTCAAACAAATTTTTTTGAGTTTGAATTATATTTTCAAGGTTTTAAGATATGCGGCCACTAACTGTCATTTATACAAATCATCGACCACAAAACGATAGCAGCTCAACCGCAAATTTATAAGGGTGCTTTAAAGATTTTATTACTGTTTACATGTTCGAAGGTTACGTACCCTCGTTCTTGCACTCGGGGACCTGGTCAGCCCACATGCACACACGGGATTCTCTGTCGTAAGCGAGTCCAGGGCTGCACTGGTAGCGGGAAGCCTCTCCGTTCCAGCAGTTCCAGAAGACGTCACATTTGGCCTCATCAGGGAAGATACCGTACAGCCTCTGGCAGTGAGGGGTTGAGATCGGAGGCTCTGTAGAACAAAACGAAATATGACGAAAACTGAATTAAAAACACTTCTAATCTATCTGGTATATATGACAAAAACTCTTTGTTCAGTCAAATTAATGTTTTGTTCAATCATCCATAAATAACAGTGTAACAAAAAACTACTGCATCAAAACATTCTTGATTCTCCGAAATGTCACTCCGTTTTAAGGATAATTGGCTATCAATCATCGTTCAACAAAAAGCTTTCAAACTTCATTTCCATAAAAAGTCCATCAGAGTTTGGCAAAAAATCTACCTACTCGGATAAAATTTTACATAGTGGCTCTAGTTCAAGGTAAGCAAACTTGATATGTTATTTATATAAACATTTGCATAAAATTGATATTTGGATATCGGATGATGTGTAGATTATTTCGTACATTCATTATATCGATAGGTATGCCATGGTGTGAATTGGCCTAGTGACATTTACGATATCATGGTTGAGATTGGAATTCTGAATAATAATCCTTATGTCACACGTAT